AATGATGTCGTGGGATCGAACGAAGTAAGCAAGTGTAGATCTGCATTGACGGAAAGTCTAGCACAGAGGCTCATGTTATTCTAGGCAACGGTGGAAATTGCAATAAAAGCTGCATATGTGATTGGGTGAATGGACTATAAACCCCCCAAAAAAATGAACAAGGAAGGAAGCTAAACATATGATTGCGTGAATTGAAGTTAGGCCAATAAAGAAATTAGAAGGAAGTTGCATACGATTGGATAATTGAATGTAAACGAAAGGAAATCTGAAAAGAAATGGGGAATTACAGATGAAGGAATGAAGCACAAGCACTAGGAATTTTGCATGGGGTGAATGGGTCAACACCGTGATCTGATAGAGTTTAGTGTGTGAAATTCAAATGAATCAGCTTGAAGTAAGAGAGATGAGTCAATCAATAAATTACTAGTTTTAAATGAATTTGCATTCCATTAAGGAAAGAAAACATGCGCTTTTCTATAAGTGTACTAAAAAGATAAAGGCATTATTGAAAATAATCGTCTTTTTAATAAAGTAAATTCATTTGAAATGAAAAGGTCAATACGAATTTTTTTATTATGAAAATTGGGATATTAATTAGCACTTTTACTGCATATGTTCACTAGATGTCAGTTCAAAATGAATTGAAAAACGGAAACATAATAAATTCCAACCTCCAATCTAACTGAGAATTAGAATTCGTGGTGTTATTTGTTTTATCGGAACAGTTTTAATGATCTGATTAAAAATACATATTTTCAACTTGTGAATTAGTGGATAAAGTATTTGAAAATTACTTTTTATTTTGTCAAAGGCACTGCCTTTATTTCTAAAGTTAAATTTCAAATCTACTTTGGCCTTTTTATATATGAACGTCGTATGTTTACCAGTGGTGTGGGAAAATGTATCTAACTATCAGTTTCAAATAAAGCAAATCACAATTTTAATAAAATCATTAATGCTGACTTGATTGATGAATGGCTTTGATCGTTGTAGTAATTAGCCGAATTATTTTGAATAATTTCATTTAGATTCGGCAGGGTTTCTTTTTGAACTTCCGAATAAATGAACAGTAAATTCTGAGAGAAAACATTTGTAGGTAAGCATTTTGTTACAAATAGTAGTGCTTAACTATATTAATGAATAAATAGCTTTAAATCGACTTTGAATGTTCTTTAAATGAAATTAAAACTACTCCGATAAACAAATAAATTGTGTTTCGCTGGATTTATTGAATTCTTATAGATGGGAAAACTTAGCTGGTTATAAACAGCTACCTTATTAATTTAAAATTAGATAATTGGATCGATGAGACTCAATATAACTTTCACATAAGCCTGTTACTACTTAATATTAAGTAAGATAAAATTATACTAATAGTGAGCTTAATCATTACCAATGAATGAAATTTTACCCGGAATCGAATTAATCTAGTTTCTGATCCAATGATATATCCGAAAGGGAACCCAGGAGCGAGTTTATGATAAATTATATTGGAAGTTGTTGTTATCCTAGAATTTCCAAAAAAGTTCCATTTCCTTTTTTCTCTTCAACTCATATTTAAACTACCAATTCTTCCTCATGTTCAAATACCTCTATCAATTAAAATTATGCTTTGTAATATTTAGTATTAATATACGCATTAGGATTTTCTGAGTTTTAATATTTTAAATTTAAATAATATGGGACCAATTCTTACCGTATTGAAATTATCCGCTTCTAAGCTCAAAAACATCGCACCCTGATGGTCGTCCCCCCCCCCCCCCCCCCCCTCCCCCCTCTTAACCAATCAATCACGCAGACTTTTAATTAACAGAGGTCCACTTGATTAGTATATTGAAGTTTGTATTTGTTCTCACCCGGTTGTAACCCGCACAATATAGAATCACTCTAAGCGAGGTGGGCTTGCATTTGCGTCTTCTTGATCTTTAATACGAAATACTCAGTACTTTGCAATTGGCACAAATACTTTGCAATGAGTTGACTGTTCGAAACAACGAAAAAAAGACTGTTACGAATTTAAATTCTAGAGGGCGTCTGGAAAAGAGGAAGGAATGGAGTGAATAAATTGGGCGTAGATATATCAAGGAGAAAGTAATGATGGAAGGACACAAAGTGCCCTGATTTCTTCAAACTTGTTCATATCTGCATAAGGTGTACAGTTTATACCATGATGTCCCTATGGTTAAGGTTGAAAGTTTCAAAGACAACATTGTGTCCGCAATATTATTATTTCAAATGACAGGCTTTATGATATTTATCATTATCCCCTAGTCCGCAATATCGTCGACTAGTTTATTTGACACTATGGTCTATCTTCAACTCGGGGGGGGGGGGGGGGGGGTGGCTAAAGACTAGTTTTAACTACGGAAATTCTACTAGTTGCATCGTCTTCTTATTGATAGTTACACTGGTTTAATCGCTAATAATCAGTAGTATTAAATTTCATCTAATTAAAAGCAGGCGAGCAACTATCATGTAGGCATGTTTACTCATTTTGTCATGATTAAAACAAGATATATTCCTCACTTTCTTGCTCTCTTTCTCCCTTCCCCCCCCCTCTCTCCTTCCCCACCTGGGAAAATGCAAATGCGTTTCATGTGAGTTGAGAAAACAGTAATAAATTATTTATGTAAGGCTTCTCATTGGTTTAGGCGTACATCCAATAGCCATTAGCCAGAAGGACGCTAATGCAACGTTTTTCCCAACCTGCAACACTCCTCGGCTTTTCTTGCTGTTAATAATTTTATAAATTGAGTGAACTTCACTGCTAATTAAAACTTAATTAGAACTGAGGAATGGTGTTTGCATTTTAAGCAGTTTTTCGTAATTTTATCAGCAGAATCCATTTGATGACGAAGAAGAGAATCTTGTTCGAAAGTGTGGAAAGATCAAGACGATATAAATAAATGTTCTCATGCCTTTAATTTTTGGGTTGAAGAGGTTGTTCACTAGGTACCTAATTCTTAGTAGTTCAAGTAAGTGTCTTTATAATTACAATTTTTAAATGATGGAATAGGACGGTTTTTTATTTCATCTTGATGGGATGGCATTTTCGGCAAGCCTTGAGAAATTGCTAGCCGTGAAATCGAAGTTTTCAACAATTCGGAGTTTACCAGGTTTATTTGAAGACAAACAGCTTTTATTTTACAGTTCCCTTTATCTGAGACAGGACAGGGTGTGCGATAGACTTACCTCCACGTGGTGCACCCTGGGCAACGTATACTCATACGGCAAAAAAGTCTATTAACTGGCAGTTGACTTCTCACTTCAAACTACTATCACCCCACTGTATGCCTTATTCGACCCCTTCACAGTACTCACCTCACCTTTTTTCTACTTTTGTGCCTGCCTCTTTTACATCTTTGGAACACTCTTCTGTCCCCCCCCCTCTCAACTTTATTTCAATTTGATGTTCCTGCCCCTCTTTGAAGCCTGAAGTCAGCTAAGGGGCTAATGACAACAATCAAAACGCCTGCCATTTGATACAGATCTCAGACAGGACCATTCAGCTTTCGTTTAAATCATTTAACCAAACAGTAGTAGCAAAGATTTGTACATTAAGCACAGAGTCCACTAGAGGCGGATCAATTTCAACGTTAGGCCGCTAGATATCGGTTAATAAGGGCCAGAAAAATAAGTATTGTTAGCCAAGGAAATCGGCAACGCTTCGTACTCCTTCCAGCCTAACGGGTCAAAAAAAGGCAAATGCTTATTGAATGTAGTAATTAAGTCAGAGAATGGAGAATCAGCGGAAGTATTGGACAGGGCGTGTCATGGATGCATTAAGTGATGTGATTTCCTGCCTGACCAGTCAATTTGGGATTGAAAAAAAGTTGGACAGAGACAATGAGTGAGTGGTTTATTCAGTCACACTCTGGGACTCAAACGGGCAATTTGTGAATTAAATTTACCATTTGCTTTAGTCCCAGAAGTAGTCATTTTATAGTCATTTTAGGAACTTTAAATTTGAAATTAGATCACTTGGCCGAGAAAAATTCAATACGAAAGCCATAGTTGCTATCACTCCAAGAACGGTTTTGTACGCTAACCTTCAATAACCACGTCAATTTATCTAACTCAGAACTTTATTAAATTTCCCTTCAAACTCAAAACAGACAAAAAAAGGCACAGAGACGCTAGCAACATCACCCATAAAAGGTTTATTCAGGGCAAGGAGATTACCCTCACACGCGCAAAGGAAAAGATACACAATTTCTAATCTCTCTCTCCCCCTCCCCCCTTCTCATTCACAAATACTTCAAAGTCATGGTGAAGAAATGTAGAGACAATATGAGGACAAAGAAAAAAGAGAGAGGCATGAAATGAACGAAGAGAAATAAATGAAAGCCGTGGTTGATGGAGAAAAGGAGATAGAATATGCTTTCCCGGAGAAGGTAGATGCGGTTTTCTCGGTAAGACTGATAGATAAACTATTTGCTTTTTTTGCATTTATATGAAAGGGAAAGAGAGAGAGAGAAAGTCCAGATATAATAGGACATATAAATACACATGAGTTCACAGTGTGCGGGAATACCACTAGTTTTATAGGCCCTTTCTTTAAAATTCCTTGTTGTCAAATCATAGGTTGCGCTGAGATAAATATATATATAGATGTGTGTGTGTGTGTGTATGTTTGTGTATTAGAGCCTTGCATACAAACAAGGCGAAGTAAAGGGGTCACGCACAATCAGACCTTGAGGAGTTAGCAGGTAGATAGCTCCAGGGAAAGAGAACTGGGGAGATAAATAGATGGGGTGATTTGGTGTTTGATCAACCTTCGAGCGGGGTCAGATATGGAATGCACGCTCGAAAAAATTGGGAAGGAGGGAAGGGGGGGAGAACAAAGAAGAGATAAAGATAAGCAGCGAGGGGAGGATAGATTTGAAAGCACCAATAATAACACTAACAGAAGGGATGGAGAGGGGATGGATAAACAGCTATTTCAACGGCGGTGTGGATTCGTCGATAGGCTCGTAGCGTGTGATCTCAATCTCATTCAATTATAGGGGATATGCTATGCTTGCCGCAGTACTAAGTGACCCGCTGGGGTTATTCGATTGACCAGGAGTATTCAGACAGGATCGATGGACATGTACATTCTGCCAGACGCCGTGACGACGTGCCCAGACTCGTGTCTCCTCCGTCTGTTGAGTATACAACACGTCCGTTCTACAATCGCAAAAAAATTAATATGAACAGGTTAATTGCTATTTCGTGCGATAGGAAGTGACATTGTAGTGAAAACACTTGATCACTATCTTATGGTGATCAGAAATCTTCGTTTATCTCAAACTAACGACTCTCATTTGAAAGCTAAGCAACTGAGAACAGATGTCTTCTTATTCCAGACATTTCATTCTCCGCCTCATTTTGTCATTTTGTTGATGGTAATTTGACAAGGTTTACCCATTTTACGCGATAATCTTCTTACGAAGTCTTAAGCGCCACATTTAGGCATACAGTAATCTCCCCGTCTTAAATCTAGGACTCAAAGTCTGTTCAAGGGAAATTCTGTTAATGAGTTGTCTAATAAGGCTCGTGTATCTAGAGTGAGCATATTTAACCCCTCATGTGCACTAAGTTGGAGCTGTTGATTTTAATTGGAGTGAGAACTTAAAAGAGAAGGTATCAATTGTGCGCCGAAACGATTCTATTGGCTGTTCAACATTGGTATAGCAACGGCTGAGCAAATTAGAGATCACACAGGTTTATGTTTATGGAAGCACATTCATTAAACCGCATGACTGGTCAAGAAAAAGACAGACGGGTACCACTTCTCTATCGCAGGTGCGTTGGAAAGACTAACTTTCAAAAGAATTTAGCCTGGACAAATTGACCCCTTCGTAAATGATTTAGAGAAGCGAAATGCGTATCATCAGAATTCGGTGTGAATAATGAACGAAAGTTAAAGCTTAGTGCGAAAACGTAAGCATAACTGATGGTGTAGTGAGGTGACTGCGTGTTAATACCTCTTTGTCTCATGAGCTCAACTCTGGTTTTATCATTTTCGATTTTCCGCCATGAAATTACGCGGTGATTTCAATCCTACCAAGTAACTCCTCACATCACGTAATTGACGTCGCTCAATTTTGCTCATAAATGTGTGCTTCTCTACACACATGTACATATTCACATGAGTCTTTGTGTCCATGAGATTTCGCAATTTCCATAAACTCGAACAATACCATCGGTTCATACCTGTGTGCATTATTTTGTAATTCAATATATATTCCCCAAGCTATTCAATTCTCAAAAAATTCTAAACTATCTCGGTTCGGTTCGGTTCCAATTGCGATTCCAATGTTACTATCACTCGATTTCTGCAAAGAGGTCTAACAAAAGAACTCACTTGTCCGTAAATTGAGTCAATCGAATGTAGGCTATACACGCGGCATCATCAGAGAGAATATGGACAATTGGGTTTTGAATGGTGGTTCGAACTGATTTGAACAACGACTTCGGAATGACTGCAAGGGAAGAGTGCAGGAAAAGACATTGTTACTAGAATTAGTTAGTTAATTAAGCAGAGGACGAAAAAAAGGAATTAGGAATAACCCAACTATCTACACTCCTCACACTAAGGCACACATCTAACACAAACAGTGCTCTAATGATGGATGAATGGCTGTGTGATGAGAGTGAGTGAGGAATATTAGCAAGCTGAGAAAAAGACGGAGATATTAGGAGGGAGACTCGAACTATGTAACTCCAAGCAAGTTAGAACCGTCTCAAGAGAGGGAGAGAGAGAGAGAGAGAGAGTATTTACCGTCAAAGTCTTCTGGAATTCGCGAGGAAGAGGCGTCCGATTCGTCTAAAATACGACATATACAGACAAACTCGACTAAGAATTGATGACAGTTATAGTTTTGACTTGTTGAGGGCATCAAGCTTTAACTAATGAGATGGTGAAATCAGTTTGACATGAGGTATTAGAGTTAGGGAGGCTATTAGAAGAAACTGAAATACGCAGTTGCAACATTTTGGAGGGATTACCTGAATCACCCTGGCGTCCCAGATCGTCTATATTGTGGAGATAATAATAATATTGGCATTTGAAAATGAGAAGCAATCGAAGTCAAACCACGAATTTAATGGTGCTCATTCCGAAATCAGTAATGACTGGAAAATTTCAAGTGAGGATTAAATTATAACCTTACAATTTAATCATCCCAAGACGCCTTGCTTAATTTTTATACCAGCTAAGGAGACATAGAGGGGGTCCCGACCACTAAAACCTGGCCACCTTGAGATTTAACGCTTTGTTCTAATACCTAAATGAAATTTGACCTATAACGAAGTATGTGATAATGAAATTAAATGTGATCACTTCCGGGTCTTGACAACTAATCTCCGATCCAAATTGACATCTTAAACAGATAAACATTCTGAAGCTTTAAACGGAGAACCACAATACAACTGATTGCATCCTATTCTGTACAGTAATTGATTGCGCGCTTTGGTCATTGGGACTAAAAACTAAACGAGTATCCGTAGCCTTCAATACGCGAGGAACGAAATCATGACCCCCATACTTCTGGTACACCTATTGGAAGCGAGTTTGATGGTTCTCATATTAGAAGAATATGCTAAACTTAGCAATAAGTCCGAAAAAATCCAGATTCACAGCAGACGGGTAAAGCAATCATTTGACAGACTGTTATAGTGTGTATTATGTTAGTAAAAGACTACCTCCAATTAAGAACACTGAAATGAACGAGAGAAGAAAACGGGAAAAAGGAGCACATCTAGAGTGAATTCAGCTTACGAACGACCTCTATCCACTTCAAACTACCAACTATCTCATTTTCGTTATAGTACGTTCTTAAACTGTGAAATAACGTGCAAAATCATTTGCCTGCCCAATCACTGGAAGAACAGGAAAATTGACAGATTTACATCTAACTATCTGAGAGACGCCAGGGATAACAAAAAAGACAACTATCCAATCAAATGGAGAAAATTTTAAAATGAAGAAAACAGGCATTAGAGCAGTAAAATTACTCCAAAGAAGCATGTGTGTGTGTGCGCGCGAGAGAGAGAGAGAGAACTAGTCTAGAATCACGAACAAAATAGGATATGAATGTGTATAGGGTTGGTGCAGATGATCAGAAAATTGTTGGCACTGTTAGATCTAAGTAGGTAGCGCTCTGTGGAGATGGTTATCATACCAGAAGTATCATTGCTGGCAACGCAGCCCATTAGAACTCTGCCAAAAGATGACGACGTCCAACGACGTCTTCCCTTGGTCTTCTTCCTCTTAGCTTTACCATCTACATAGTTGACACAAAATCATCAAAGCGAGGTAGAGAAGCAATCCGGGAATTAACCAAGTTAAGATTATTTTCACTTTGTAAGACTTCCGGTTACGAAATAGCCAAATAGGTTTAATGGGTAACTACTCTAATAACAAAAAGAGTAACACCTGCATTCTATGAAGTGAAGAAATACATCGATCACTAGAAGCAACTATGCTAGATAACATCTATCCATACAAAGTGTAAATGTTCTCTCAGATCATTGCCCTTACCAAATGAAGGATTTAGAGAATGACATTTTGAGTTGAGACTCACCTTGATCAAAGTAAAATTTGTGGAAATCACAGCCTTCAACGAGTGTTCCACGCACATCGGGCCCGAAATAGGTGAATTTCGGACACATTAAACGTCTATAAGGGAGGGAAAAAATCCTAAGCATTGTTTAATGCTCATCCAAAGTAAGCATCAAGTCATTTAAATTTGTTTAACAAATGCAGCACATTCAATTAGTCCTTAGAAAACAAACGCCTACGAGGCAGTGTCACCTGCATTAAGAACACCCGAGATTGATCCTAATTCATTTAGCGCAAACATCAAACCCTACATTTATTACAAGCTGTGAATTCAGACGCACATGCTTCGGAATTATTAGAATTTTGGCCAGGCCTCCTGTTCTAGATACTAGAATACCCCCAACAGTTATAATGTGCTATAGTTATAGGTCTTCATGGATTCTTCTTCTCAATCTTCTGCATTAAATTCTCAACAAGTTATAATGGCCACGGGGTGTGCGATAGACTTACCTCCACGTGGTGCACCCTGGG